ACAGGTCTAAAACTACACAATCTAACACAGGTCTAGAACAACACAATTTAACACAGGTCTAGAACAACACAATTTAACACAGGTCTAGAATTACACAATCTAACACTGGCACAGGTCTAGAATTAACACTAACTTGTATAGAACTACACAATCTAATGCTAATACTGCTATAGAACTACGTGACGGGGTCCCAGCCGGTGTCTAGACCCACCCAAACTTTGCACAGGCACGAGCTGAGGCAGTGGGGCGCCTCCAGAGCCGGTAAAGCCAGATCACGTCTAGGGCTTTTCATGTGGAATAATTTAATGAGACTGCCGCCGCTAACATGTTGTAACTGTGGTACACACACACACACACACACACACACACACACACACACACACACACACACACACACACACACGTTAGAAAAAGAGAGGCTAGATATGATAGACATAAAATACTTTGGGGGATTGACAAAGTGGAAAAATAAAGAGGTTCACAATGAATACCAGTAAAACAGGATGGCATGGATGGCCGCTTGAGATTTAGAGGAGTTATACAGATAAAGTTTCCTTTAGTTAAAGTTCCTATAAAAAGCTTCCTTTTACCGTAATAGTCAAGAAATAGAAAACGAGCCCAGGAACAGAGATCCAACACTACGTGGGCTGTAACAACAGATCCAACACTGCGTTTGGCTGTAACAACAGAGATCCAACACTACGTGGGCTGTAACAACAGAGATCCAACACTACGTGGGCTGTAACAACAGAGGTCCAACACTACGTGGGCTGTAACAACAGAGATCCAACACTACGTGGGCTGTAACAACAGAGGTCCAACACTACGTGGGCTGTAACAACAGAGATCCAACACTACGTGGGCTGTAACAACAGAGGTCCAACACTACGTGGGCTGTAACAACAGAGATCCAACACTACGTGGGCTGTAACAACAGAGGTCCAACACTACGTGGGCTGTAACAACAGAGATCCAACACTACGTGAACAAGAACATTTGGCTTCCTATGAAGACTGTTTGCCCAGGCAATCAGATCCTTCCAAAAAATACACACGAAAAGTTTTGGACCGTTTTTCAAGATGAAAACTTTGGTGTTGTGTGGTATATAAACTGAGAGTCAGTGACAAAGAGTTAAAATGATGCACAGAAACATTAATAAAGACAGTGGATAAGCAAGACACGATAAATTATAGCAAAATAAGGGATATGAAAATGTACGTTACTGACGTATGACGTTTTCGGTCGAATACACCTAGCCTGTTGCTCACTAACAGTAGCATGGTAGTATTATATATTTTACTCTGAAATAATCAAGGAATTGAGAAAAATATTGTGGACATTTTAGGCCAAAGCCTAGCCCTTGGGAGATCGCGTGGAGGCGGCGATCGACATTCCGTGCTTTGAAAGGCAGTTTCTTAAAAACAATATATATGCAGTTATATCTCTAGAGTAAAGGTATAACTGACAATTTCCGTGTGTTGTAGCCTTGACGAGCAGGGTACACACACTCACGTAGAACAAGCCAAATCTATTGGTCTCCTGGTGGAGGGTTGGAGAGGCTAGGAGACCACTCCGTCACACCTAACGTACTGTAATGTGTACGTCAATTCCAGTAAAGGTTAGGACGAACTCTCTCGTTAACCACAGTCTGGAAACCGAAGAGGTTATTGATTTCCTGTTGCGCGCGTGCGTATTGCAAAATAACTCTTAAAAATTGCTAGACCTTTCAAAATCGAGGCTGTCATTGTCGAATACACAGTGCGTAACTTACGTTTTTCAGTTTATGTGTCAAATAGCCTGGCTTTGGATATCAGACCAGTATTATGGAGCTAGTCATGATATTTACACGAGAATGAATCACAATAACGTTGCTGCAATAACGTAACGTTGCAAATAACCCAACCCATCAATGAGTACGAAGTTTCAGTCAATCCAGGACTTCATGAGGGGTTCAGGATGGACCAAGACGGAAGTAAGAAAGACGTTTCGGCCCATCCAGGACCCGAGTTGTCCAGGACAAAGACGACAGTAAGAATGGCGTTTCTGTCCATCCAGGACCTGACGAGAGTCCAGGACGGACTAAGTTACTGCCATTTGATTACATATGGCAACTCCCAAGTCTCAATTTGTTGTTAATAAAGATAATTATAAGTATATAATAAGAGTTGACTGCCTTTCTCATATGTATGTACAGACTCTGGATCTCTGACTGGTCAGAAAATGTCTTTAACTTAATAACATAAAATAGTAGCACAATACAGAATCAGAAATATTCTGAATGCCGAAATAAACAGAACTGGGTTACCAGTCAGAAGGAATTAAATTATTCTGAGAACGTCCTTTATGGAAACTGATAGCGAATTAAAAAAAAATACAATTTATAAATATGATAAGATTAGCACAACTGTAATTTAACACTGTATGACAAATTATCATGTTAATTTGTGTAGAATATTTTATTGAACAATAGAGGAGAAATTATAATTACTGGCGAAACGAAATACTTGATTTCGACAAGATCATGCGATTCATTAAATGGATGAAACTATCGTGACTTACAATTATATGTAGTGAAGAACAATAACAAGTGTCGATCCCGAATATCATTAACTGCGAGAGAAAACGTTATTGACACCGTCGAAAGGAATCACGAGGCAGTGAATAATATCATTTTAAAAATACGACGAATAGGTTAGTTAGTTATTTTCCAACATAGTAAAGCTTTGATTTTTGATAAAGTTATTTATTTTCTTTAACTGGTACTTGAGTATGTGTTGGGTTCGCACCTTATTTTGGTCGATGAATAGGTAGAATAGCCTCATATATTCACTCTTGTTATGATTCTATTGAACGTATAAAATCATTCTTTCGTTCCCTCTTTCGTTAGGTCAGCGAGATCAGATGAACTACACCAACTATTTTTTGGCTTAATCCAACTAACAGATGAACAACGACTTCGACGATATCTCAACAGGTATACATGTGACTACCTCATTTAAATTATTGCCATATTTTTGTACAAACAAACGCTCCAAGACCAAGGAATTCACAAGGAACCTTGCGAAAAGAGACGGGAACTTATAACATCTGTAAGTTGCGGAGTTCCTTATCAACTGTGATATACCTTGCTCGATTAATAAAAACCACTAAAGATATATTTATCATAATTATCCCACTAGTATGATTGGCTGCGAATTAGTTATCAAATTATATAAAATATATGCGAGATGAATGTAGATGTAGTAAATCTACAGTCTAGATTTGCTCTAGAAAGTATTGTTATGTGAAGGAGATAAATTACTCATTTCATCTGTTGATTATTTTCCTAAGTAATGTGGGTCGTCGTCAGCCTAAACAGTGGGGAAAGTGGGCGACATTTGACCTTTTATACAATACATACATACGCTGATATTTGAGCTGATGGCTATCAAAATTACGTCAAAACTCATTCCAATGAAAAAGATTAAAATATGTTCACTTTCCATCACGAAGATGGAAAGAAAAAAAAAATATGCATGACGATAAAATGTTTAATTATTAACGGTAAAAATGATAAAATAAACAATGAAAGACTTTTGTTGCGTTGTTTAATGCAATCCAACAAAAGGCATGGAATATGAGTTTACAGTTTTGACAGTGTGTACCGTAAATGTCAGGCTACCTCGGTCACTGGCTTGCACCCGGCTTTGATCTGCATGGATTAAAGCACATTGGGTTCTAATTACCTGTTTATGCCTCACAGGGCTTAAACTAAGGTATTAAAACTAAGGTATTGTCGCGGTCTAGTCGAGGGCTTAAACTAAGGGATAGTCGTGGTATGGTAGAGATTCGAGGCTAAAGATATATATATATATATATGTATATATATGTATATATATATATATATATATATATATATATATATATATATATATATATATATATATATATATATATATATATATATATATATATATATATATATATATATATATATATATATCTCGATTTCCTTTTAAAACTAGTTAACCAAAAGTGGAATAAAAGGCAACCAAACCTAAACCAGCCAAATGCAACCTTACCTAACCATGAGAGTAGCTAGAAGCACCAATTACGTAGGAGTTTTGAAGCTATTACCTCAACGGTTCAAACCCCTTAAGGACAGGTTGATGAAATGAGTACAATATTATATTCATCAATAAACGATGTAAGATCTTTTAATGATATATTTACTGAGAATTCAAATTTAAGGAGAAAAAACACATAGAAGTTAGCAAACAGTGACAGGATAGAACAGAGAATATTATACCGAGTAGATAAAGTGTTGTTTAATATTCCGTATGAAATAGTGCATACACATATGAGACTAAATTATAAAGAAAAATGGTTTATTGAGCTTATTAATGGTTTATTATTATTGTTTAAAAATGGTTTGAAATGGTTTATTGAGCTCCCATTCTACCGCGCTCAACTTCACTCACCTCAATACGAGATTATATCAATGAAATTACAAGCAGGAATGAGCAAGGACGTCGCTGACTTCACTAACATAAAATTAGCAAAGACGTCGCTGACTTCACTAACATGAATTAGCAAGGACGTCGCTGACTTCACTGACAGGAATTAGCAAAGACGTCGCTGACTTCACTAACAGGAATTAGCAAAGACGTCGCTGACTTCACTAACAGGAATTAGCAAAGACGTCGCTGACTTCACTAACATGAATTAGCAAAGACGTCGCTGACTTCACTAACATGAATTAGCAAGGACGTCGCTGACTTCAATAACAGGAATTAGCAAAGACGTCGCTGACTTCACTAGCAGGAATAAGCAATATGACGTCACTGTCTTCCAGCAGGAATTAACAGTGTCGCTGATTTCATAAGGCATTAATAACTAGTAACCTGGTTAGATTGCCGTCATGGAGAATTAAATATTATGCATTTGAAATCCCATCAGCAGGAGCACTAACTACATTACCAGCAGCCTAAATAAAATAACTGAATAAGGGTAATTTATACTTAAAGTTGCGCAGATGATTGATGAGCACATCCTCCCTCTATCATGTCCACAGTGCCACTGAGGCGTACAAGCAGGGGAGCAGCTGGTAGAAGTACCCACTAAGGTTGCCACGTCTAAATAACTGCCATTTAGGACACTATCTTTTAGTATATCAGTTAGATAACTTCACTAAATAGCGATAAACAATCATCTGTAGTTATAACCCTAACACAAACCTTCCCACAATACACACATTTTCAGAGTATAATACTTCGCAGCCTTCTCTTTATATCGTTGGAAGTTGGAGAATCGGCAACAGTGTTCCAGCCTAAGACTGACTGCTTCACCTAGTCGCCAATCAACATTGTTGATTAGATCTAGATATATCATCTAACATATCTCTCAGACCATGTATTACTTCCTAACTCTTTTCTGATTTACTTAGACAATATTTACATCTCACCTCCTTGACAGTTCGTATGCAAATTAGCCAACTACTATAGATTACAATACAAACTCTGTACACTCGTAATTTCTCTGACCAAATTCACATGGGCTGCATATATTTGCATCTAAGATATAACATATTTTCAATAAATAATTTAAATGTGCAATTTTAAAATAAAGTTTAAATTAACGTGCACAGAAAGATGTTCAAATAATCTGAAAGCGTAGCCTAGCCTGTTAATCATAACATGTTTTGCAGCAATAAGTATTTATTCAACTCTCATGTGCATTCACAAAATGGTAAATTTGCATATAGCATGTCACCTTAGTAATTATTTTAAGACGGTGCTAACACTCCCGTATGCAATTTATGTATGCAAATTACACAGTCGATTTCAAATTCAAGTTTGACCTATGTACTGGTTTCTTGTTCCCGACTTGATCAACCAGGCTGGGATTCATACGTCAGACAGCGAGCAGCCGCGTCCAACAGCATGGTTAACCAGACGACCAACCGGGAGGTCGGAGATCGGGCCGCGGGGCCGTTGATCCCCGGAAGATACACAAAATAGCCTACAACGGAAATGATATTTTTTGCAACATATATATACATAAAGTCTAAAACGCAAGGCTCTACGGGCTCTATACGTATTGTCATTCTTGGAGGATGAGTTGTTCACTTCAGTCAGGTAATGAGAGTGATTTATTGCAGGTAGAAGACCCTAGGGATGGCGTCCGACCCGAGCACGCCCACGACACCCACCTCTCCCAACGACGACCGCGAGGCCACTAAGGAGTGGCTCGAGACCATCTTAGAGACCTACCACAAGACCCTCGATCCTAACTCGGAACCAGACGTAGAGGTTAGTACACCTGTCACGCTGTCATGACTAATTATAGTCAGGTCTGAGAGCTTGTAGCTTTATAGCTATTTACTCCTCACACTTAGATATAATTTCAGTTTGTGATGGAAATCAAGCTAGGATAATTGTAAGTTGTAATATTACTACACTTTCAGTTGGTTCCAGTCTTGGATTTCCAGCATCTCTGAAGGGAGGTAAAAGTTTTTTTTTCTCTCACCGTTAACCACACTCATTAAACAGCATGTCAAGTCAAAGGTACACTTACCTTTTTAACCAGACAACCGTAGCCTCCGGGGCACCTTTGGAGATATGGCACGTTAACTGTTGTCTCTGGTACGATGTTTCCGCCTTTCTCCTCTCTCTTGTTGTACGATGTTTCCGTTTGTTCTGTCTTTGTCTCTCTATGTACGATGTTTTCGACTGAGTTTACACCCTTAAAGACAATTATATTCAGACATGTTAAATAATTTTATTGAATGATCTTTATTTACATTATATATTTTGTCCATCCGTCTCTTCTTGTGTCATTTTCCCCTCTAAACAAGCAATAACTTTTAATAATATCTTCAATTCAAGAAACCCCCCCCCCACCATCCACCCAGAATGCCCCATAATTTCCTCCACAACTTCCTACACTCTACGAATCTGCCCTCAACAGCTACGTGAGTGGAGTGTGAACCCTGCGTCAGGAGGTGAGAGAGAGGGTTACCTGTCAGAGCAGCTGTCAGTTGGGGTGTCGTATGGCGCCCGCGGCCGGGACCACCACGCCCACCTGCTGGCCAAACTCCTCCCGCAGGACCCTTTCAACCGCGCCTTCGTCATCGAGACGCTCTTCGACCTGAGGGAGATCAACTTTTATTCTGAGGTTGGTGATGGTGGTGGTTGTAGTGGGTGATAGTGGTGGATGATGATGATGAATGATGATTTATGATGGGGTGGATGATGGTGGTGGTTCAAACTCTGACTAGTAGCCAATAAACTCTTGGTGCACACCAGCTCTAAGGAACACTTTGGAAACACCTGTATGTTAACATATGTTCACCCACTGCATCAGCAGAAAATCTCGAAGGTTAAGTATGGTGGAAGACTTCGGAATTTTTGTTAAAGTGATTTGGGACATTGAAACGCGAACATAGAGGTCAAGTTGTCCCCTTTATCCCTGGTGATCACAACCCCCTTCAGTAGTTATCCCCACCCACTCACTGACGCAGTTTATCTTTAAAACTGACAACCATTCCTTACAGTAACAGCGAAGCGGTTGGAATTACCGTTCAGCTCCACTAGGCTATTTGAATAGTAGCCTACTTGACTCCTTGCCTTCGAAACTACTTGCCTTCTAGACTCCATACCTAGTAGACTACTAGTCAACCTGCCCACTAGACCTGATCAACCAGGCTAGTAGACTACTGAACTAGCTACTTGCTTATTAGACTACTGAACTAGAGACTTGCCTAGTAGACTACTAAATTAGACTTGACTCCCAATCGACTTGAGAATGGTCCTGGACGGACCGAAACGTCGTCGTCCCTTCAACTTCTAGTGTGTGGTCTGGTCAACATACTTCAGCCACGTTATTGTGACTCATCGCCTGCATACTAAATTAGCTACTTGTCTAGTAACTATTAGATTAACTACTAGCCTAGTAGCCTAATAGATCACCAGACTACTTGCACTTTATCATCCCCAATGGACATTATTTTTAACGAGCGTTATTTAGTAGAACAAAACCCATTTGTTTCGATTCCAATTAATGTTAGAAAACTCAATGGTCCGTTATTGTTGTCTGACGTCACAGCAAAAACAATGAAGCAATTACAACAATGGCAAATACATGTAACCATTGTGTTTGTGTCATGGAGAGTGTTCGATTGAGAATGGAATGAATGCATTGTGACCTGTATGTTTTCCCAGAACTGGGTCTTTACCGAAAGTACCAATTCTTATATCTTTATCTTTAGAAGGTATCCTTAGCAAGATGCCAGTTTACTTAGATTTTTAAATAACGATATTTAATGAACTTACTGGTAAATGTAAGTCTTACACTTGTCTTAAACTTTATAGAAGAGGTGTCGGTTGACTTTTCACAGCCCTGGGATGGGTATGGGGTACATAATAAAGAAAGAAATTGAAAGTTTGACTGCAGGGTGAGGCAGATGCTCACCACATCTCTTAACAGAGATGCACCCCTAGGAGGGTTCCGTTAGTACAGTCGGGTTTGTCCTCCACTCACAATCTAGAATTCTGGAACAGAAATGATTGAGCACATTTCCTATCACCTAATGCACTTAGCAACAAATAGGTACCCAGGAGATAGTCAGCTGATTGTGGGGTTGCATCCTGGTAATGCTCAGTAATTTGAAGACCTGGGGGATGGGACCTCGATATGAGCGTAATACGTATATATATGCACACTGGCTGCCTGTCCCACAACACAACGAATTAATTAAACCTAATAAAATACCATGCTGGTGTTATCTAAGTTGGCTAGTCTGTTGCCTTCTCATCCGTCAACTGCCGTTTTCTGTGATCTCCGTCGTGTTGTAGGGGGGACTGTAGCCATCATACAGGTATTGAACCTAGGCTCAGCCACAGGCGTGTTTTACTTCCTTCCTGAAGCCATACTCAGCAACGCTGCCCCTCCCTTCTTGACGGTATCGACGTGAATGTTCGGGACTAAACTTTTCAGCTTACATCGACCAAGTTCATTTGACAAGGGAGACTGAAGGAAAATATAACTATGAATTGTGAGGATCCTGCTTAGGGATTCTAATGAGCTTGGGGAGGTGGTTGATAATCCCCTTGTGAGGCATCATTTTTCATTAGAGGTAGCGGAATTTACGTCGTCCTATGGTATTATTTGGATGCCATTTTTCCCTATAGATGCATGTTGTAAATATAATAATAAATAATGATATAAAATATTTACATTTTCAACTACTCAAATAACGTGGATACAATTTAATTACGAAATCATATATAAGGAGGGATGCTTCTCCTTATTATTTAATATCACCAGTCACTAAATATAAGCAGTTCTATCATTTATCAATTATTATTAAAGCTAAATCTTGAATATCAAAAATCGCGTATGTTTTCATATTTTAGAAAGCTTTGTTTTATTTACAACCTAATTGTATCTTAAAATGCATGTCGCTCTGATCCGAATTACGAATATTAAAGCTCCTTATCGAGCTTCCGAGCTGTCTATCATTTTAGTTATAAAAGACTAAATGGTGTTGGAACGAGTAGGGTCTAAAATCTGAGAAAACTATGTGCGTCTTCGCTACTTTTTAAATACACCAAATCTTAACTAATCTAATATAACCAAACCCAACCCAACCTATCCTAGCCTAATCCAACCCAATCTATCCTAACCTAACGCAACCCAACCCGTCCTGTCCTAACCTAACCCAATGCAACCTATCCAAGCCTAACCCAACGTATCCTAACCTAAGCTAACGCAACCTATCCTAATCTAACCTAACACAACCCAATCTATCCTAGCTTAACCCAATCCAACCCAACCTATCCTAACCTAACTCAACCTATCCTAGCCTAACCCAATCCAACCCAGCCTAACTTAACCCAACTAAACATTATCCTAATTAACGCAACCTATCATAACGTAACCTAAGGAAAATAAAATGTCTCAGAAAATTTAGCTGAAACGAAATTGAAACAAGATCTTCCCATGAAGACCTTGTTTGAAGACCAATATACACTATAAAGTGTATATTGGGTGTCCTAATACCAGTGTCAGGACACATGGAATTATGAAGCTTTTCAAGAAATAGTGTTTAAATTGTTTTAAGCTGTGAGCTTCCGGGTCTTAACAAATGAAATTATGTTTAACAAATTGCGCTATCAGTAGACAAAGTTCTCCTGTTTACTATTGTCTTATTCATAATTTGTTGACCACAGACTGCACATGTTTACCCCTTTGCTCTTAGGTGAAATATTTATTTAAATAATTATGGGATTTGTATCTTACAGATCAAGCCAGCACTGGAGGGGGTTGAGCGACAGTACTTAACAGAAGACTCCATTAACCTCGTCTGGGCCCCTGAGCTGTACTACGCCAAGCACAAGATGGCTGCAGAGTCCATTTTGGTTCTGGCTGATATGTGTCAGCGTGGCTACAAGATGCAGGACCTGACGGAGGGGCTGACACTGTCACAAGCAGAGTCGGCTCTCACCACTATGGCTAACATTCAGGCTGCTTCCCTCGCTTTACAAATTAAGGAGGGAAAGCCTCTTCAGGAGCGGTATCCATATTTGTTGTCGATGGAGCAGGCAGTAGAGTCCTTCAACTGCTTGGTTGATCGAGGCCTTCCACTGCTACTCAAGTTCCTAGAGTCCCGTAAAGACCGTGCCGCTGTCCGGGAGGGTTTACGAAAATATTCAGGACACCATCGGGCAGTGGAAGTCCTTCGAAGCATCTTAGCTCCGTCAGACAAGCTCAACACTCTGGTGCACTGTGATTTTTGGAGCAATAATCTTCTCTTCAAGAAGGACGGAGATACCACTCGCTGTTGCGTCATTGACTGGCAGACGGTGATGTATGGACGCCCCGCCATAGACGTGGCCATGTTGATCTGTACATCCTTAGAGGCCTCCCAGCGACGTAAACACGAGGCACAGCTCCTCTCAGCCTACTGGGATGCTTTTACTTCCAGACTCGCCAAATTTGGAATTGAAAAGGAGAGTATCAAGTATACTGAAGATGATTTAAAGGAAGATTTTAAAGCAGCGCAGGCAATGTCAGGTCTGGTGGTGGTTGGAAGTGTTGATATTGCTCTGGGGAACAAGGCAAGAGAGGAGAGGGTTCTAGAGTTGCTTTCTGACCTGATGAAAGCGGGTGTACTATGAGGCAGCCGGGACAAGAGACCAATTTAGAATAAGATTTACTCATGTACATAACAACTATTCTCAATGTCGATACACTTAAGAGCCTGCAATTAGCTTCAGGCAGTAGAAACGAGCTTATTGAGAAAGCGGCGCCAGTGTGTCGTTGTTGTTCACAGGATGAACTGAAGCACAACATTTGCTTTTTAAAGGATCTTTTTTCTCTGATTACTGTATAGTATTTTATAAAGCATACTGTTACGTAGTCTATTTGAAATGTGTTTTTTCTTATTTCCAGTACCGAGACTCGCGGCTCCCAAGAGACGTGCCGTTGTCAGTTCTTACAAATCGTTAACAATTAACCTAAAAAGCTGTTTAATTTTTTTTTAAGAATTGCAAGAAATTGTCAAAGGGCACTTGACCAATAAATGTATCGTTGACTCATTTAACCATTATATTGGGATGTTTTCTGCCTAAGCATAACTAGAGCTGCCGGGGCGTTGACTAGGCACATGAAGCCCACGGACACAACCCAGCCTCGCTCACCCGACCGACAACTACGTAGAACTCCACTAATGCTTAGCATTTAATTTAATGTTTACCTAATTACTGCCAACCATTTAAGGCTTGTATCATTAATAGCTTACTTGGACAAACTTCTAATGCATGATATCTTGGCTATCTCCTGGTATAGTTCTATCTCTATATCATAATTGAACACATTTGCGAGATCCCTTCTTGGATGTCCAAGGTTAGGCTGTAGAAACTACTACAGAAGCTAAAGACTCGGTATACAGAAACTGATTTGCAGCTCGTTACATTTTAAGTTAAAGGATTTAGCGTCTTTTCAATTAGTGTGCTATTCTATAGTACCCTTTGTCTACTATTCAAGAATCCGATTATGAACTTCAATTAAAATTAGAGCAATGATGCTGGTGCTCTTAATTAAAATGTGATTTTTTATTTTTGCATTTGACAAATTGAAGGGCACTGTAGTGAGCTTACCGATAGGCAAAGGGCGTTGTTGCACTAGATAAAAAAAACTGGTCGAGTTACCTTCATTGCATAATTGAGAATGCAGTTGGATACGTCATTGCTGTATGAATCATTAATTGAAATGGATTTGTGGGTGATCAAAAATGTATATACAGTCTTACATATTTCCAAATATAATACACTAAGCAGTATGACAGGATTTGTCAATTTCCATCACTTATCTTCTACTAGAATGAATCATGGACCATGTATGCATGTCAAAGGCTTCGTAACGAGCCATGTTACTGTGCACAAAACTGGAGTGCGAGTTGTGGTAATGTTAACGGTACTATATATCATGTAAAGATACGTCACATGTAACATAGAATATCAGGACACTTTGCAGCGCTCCTATTATGTAAAGATACGGAAAGTGTACTTTAATAGGCACTTATGAAAAACAACTAAGTGTGTGTGTGTGTATGTGTTCTCACAGGACGTGTGCAGCGAGGTGTCTAATGAGTTCTTGTGAGCACCAAGCAAATGATCCCCCAACACACACATAAAGTTGTGTGTTTGCTTGGCAAGAACTTGAGGCGTCTGCTGTCAGCCGGCGAGTACTATTAACTTTGTTGATGTATTATTACAGGAAAGACCGAATTTGAGACAGGTCTATACATTGATGTTTGTAATATAAATATGTTATCACTTTTGTGTTTCATTATCATAAAATATTAATTTTGTCCAAATAAAGCATGTTGATTATCAAATCCAAAAGTAGGGGTCTAAAACCTGAGAAAAATAATATTTTTAAAGAAATTAATATAACGTAACTTATTCCATTCAATCCTATTCGAACCTAACCTAACCTAACTTAGCCTAACCTAGCCTAGCCTAGCCTAGCCTAACGAAAATACGTGTTCATATATGGCGAGACATCACTATTGCATTAGAATTTTCGTGGTGAATAGGCTGGTATAGGTATAGGCTGTAGGCCTTACTGGGAGCTCAGTGCATAACGTATGGCACCAATAAACCCAGCTTGCATTACATCAGTTATTATTCGGTAAAAAAAAAATATTTTAAAAGATAGGACAATTAACTGTAATTACAGTTTGAACAAGCTGATTAACGAGTTCCCTAAAGGGACCTTCCTTTCAGCTGTGTTGAGACTTGTGTGGTTTAATGAAACACCGGACTATGTTGGTAGCTGGTTGGCTGTGTTGACAGCTGGTTGACTATGTTGCCAGCTGGCAGGCTATGCAACTGGTGGAATGTTGTCATCTGGAAGACTATGCAACTGCAGGACTATGTTGTCAGCTGGCAGACTATGCACCTCGAGGGTTATGATGCCAGCTGGCAGACTATGCAACTGGAAGACTATGTCGCCAGTTGACAGACTATGCAACTGGAAGACTAAGTTGCCAGCTGGCAAAATGCAGCTGGAAGACTATGTTGCCAGCTGGCAGACTATGTTGCCAGCTGGAAGACTATGTTGCCAGGTTGCAGACTATGTTGGCAGATGGCAGACAATATTGCCAGCGGTCACTTAGTTCAATATGGCTCCTGGGAAGACACATTAATGTCGCCATAAACAGTCGTGGATTATACATTTCTGGAGTGAGGAACGCAAGTATTAAGCAGTACCCATTGTGCCAGGAATGAATATGAAATACAATTGACCTTGGATACACTTTATTAGTTGTGCTCGTACCATCTTTGAATACTCTACAATGCTGTTGTTTTTACCACGCTGTATGTAACTTAGGATTTTATATAGGTGACCGATACGGGGTTTGTTATGATTTTTTAAATTAGAATGCAAGCCTAAAGCAAAATATATATAAATATTTAATTAATATTGTTTAAATGTATTCAGCGTGTTTATAATGAAACTGAAAACAGTCTTTCTACTGACAGTGGACAATATTGTGATGCTTGACCTGTTAAGAGCTTCAGAAGCTCAGACATGATACGCTCTTGCTTGTAAGAGAGGCAAGGAGAGGATGGGGCCGGGAGATGTATGATAACCACGGTGAGGCTGTATAAGACGTTGCAAGGATTCATCAAGCAGTTACGATACCTGTATACCTGTCCCTGATCATGGCGGCTTAGTCAGTATTTATTAGACAGTTTACGAGGTCGGAACGCATCGAGGTCGTTCTAGACCCAAGGTTATTATTGCTATACACAACCTCGAAGCGCTTCGGAACTCGTAAACTGTTTTATAAATGTAAACTAAGCCTCTATGATCGGGGATAGATGTATAGGTTTCATACGTGGGCATTTAAGTGCAAGTGCCTTGCAATTAAGGAGGGTTCCAGTACTGCCCACCAGCTGGAGAGGCCGCTCTAGTAAAGGTTTAATATTGAATGGTTGTGTCCTTGCTGGGGGCTATGAGGATTAAAGCAAATTTTGGTATCTTTACTTGAATTTATCTGAAGGCCAATCTGTAGTTGCTTCGACGACAGGAAGCCGGCGGCCTGCCAAAGGTCCACCCATTGCTCCTGAGGGTTTTGAGCTGCTTGAATGCCAACTGACAGACTTTCCCCAGTCCTTCAAGTGTATGTTCTGTATCCAAAGGCATTGATGGAATTTACAGTGCTTTAAGTGCTATTAATTAGAAAATGCCTTTTTACATACATTAGGAGCTTCGAAATAAATTGAATAATTCGTTCGCTTGAAATAAATTTAAACATATTTCCACAAATAAACTCACCTTTGATGCCTTTCTAAAGAATGTGGTTTAGCTGTCCAGTGAACGCTAAGTTAATGGTGTGCATTTATCCAAATGTTTATCCTGCGACGCTGGATATATGAGAAGTACGTCACACCGAATATAAACATTCCCGTACGTCATTCTTGCTCACTAGAACACTCTTTCACTCAGATATGTATGAGCACTGAGCCCCACAACCCTGAGGGCTTGACCTCTTCTTCTTAAAGTCATCGCGAAACTGAAGCCTCAGCTAATTAACTCGACCTCTTCGACTCTAGTGTTCACGTTAATCCCTTCAGTGTCATTATGTGAGCCTACTGACTGACGGTTTGGGGTACTTAAAAACGCTTTAAACCTTAAAACAACTTTTTTTTTAGGTTGACTTTAGTTTTGACGTAATTTATACAGTACCGTATTATTATATTCAGTTTTATTAGTATATCTTAAAACATTTCTCATGTCTGGCAGTTAATTATAATTGTTTTTGCGTACGAAATACAGTACACACATGCGTGTGTTAATGAAAATGTGTGTTTATATAAATGTGTTTATATAATGTGTATTTACATGTGTTATGTAAATGTGTTTTATGTAAATAAATGTAACATGGGCTTGGAGATAGGTGTTACGGATGAATGGAATGATCCCCTTACACTGAGCCTGGAGGGTTACCATAATTCAGCCACCCCCATAATGACTACCAGTCTGGGAGAGACTTGGTGTAAGGATAATAAAATACACAATAAGTGTATAGATATGTACTCACAAACTGTATGCACACTAGTTATCTATGAGCACAATATGTTTAATTTGGCAAAAACAAACTCATAAAAAAAAGTGACAGCAATAGGTGAATTAGTCGAAGTGTCATGTGATATAACAACTCACAAAACATAATATGTGGATAAATCAGCTTATATATATCACCTGATAGGCATAATACCAACATATACAATGCACGTGTAGGTCTAAGTAAATGTTCGCTAATCAATAAAGGATTCTGTTTATGAATGAAAAACAATACATACATGACTTACAAGCGATTATTTTAGATTGTAATCTGTCTATATGACTAAATCGTAAACTCGTAAAGGAACTAAATCGTAAATTATACTAGGAACTGGAGACATTGGCTTTGTTTACTCCCTGCGTTCGAAGTACAGCGCTTAATGCTCCTCTCATGTTCTGTAAACACTTGCGATTATCAACAGACCCCAACAACACCTAGCCAAACCTATTCTAGGCCTAACTTCACTTAATCTAGTTTATCCTAGGCCTCACTATACACAAATAAAAACAAAAAAATTAGCACACAGTACGGAAAAGCTTTAAAACGTGTATTGGGGATGGCCACAGCTCGAAGAAAAGTCAATAAAGTGTATTTTAATCAGCGAACACATGGGCCAGTGTTTTGACAATTGGTTACTTTACTATATGCAAACTATTCTCAAGCCATGTGCCATCAAGCTGCGGCCTTCCAGCATTTTGTTGGTCTGCAATAAAAATAGAGCTAATTTATCGCATTTAAATTAATATCGTTAATGGTTTTGTGAATAGTTAGGTCATGATTAAGTCCCGTTGGCGATTATTTGCATTAAAAGTACTCGGATAAAGCATTTAGAGAGAAAAGTATTTGTCTAATATACATAATAAAAATGTTGTTGATTTAAGGGCGATATAGGAAGACATTGAAATGAAGCACTTTTCCAAAAAAGTGAATATAATCAGTTATATCTTGTGTAAAGTGCGGTTCGGAAACATGGTAAACGGCTGCTAGATTGAAGAGCTTATGGTCAGTATTTCGAGGGCGGGATGGTTATGAAACCCGTCCTCACGCTATGTTCATTCCATCCAGCATCCGACCCCAAAGACGCATTCATAAATTTTTAACATGCTGTTCATCCAAAATTTAGAATTTTCCTAGATACATAATCATATTATTAAATATTTGCATATTGTACCAATTAAGTCATAAGTTAGATTAGGCGTTTAGGTTCTGTTGGCAATTATTTGTATTTGTAGTACGTGGGTGAAGCATTTACAGCGTTGTGATTCGAACAGGGGGCGTTTGTGAAGCACTGTTTTAAAACTGTTCGAACGTTATCAGTTGTAAGTCGTGTGAAAAGCGCTTTAATTCATTAACACGGGGTTTGGCGGCTGCATGGAATGAATACTGGCCTTTGTTGATGAGGACGGGCTGCTTGCTCTTGGGCTTTGCCCTAATTATAATTGTTTCGAGTCAGGAGCTAAATTAAAAGTATTTTTCAATAAGGGTTTCACCTGAGCAGAAAAAAGCCTCTTATAAAGTATTTTTAAACAAAAATATATCTGCATTCTTAGTTTATTAAGTCTTCCATGTCACCTTGGCTGCAGGACAACCGTCCAGTCATCCTGGCTGCAGGACAACCGTCCAGTCATCCTGGCTGCAGGACAACCGTCCAGTCATCCTGGCTGCAGGACAACTGTCCAGTCATCCTGGCTGCAGGACAACTGTCCAGTCATCCTGGCTGCAGGACAACCGTCCAGTCATCCTGGCTGCAGGACAACCGTCCAGTCATCCTGGCTGCAGGACAACCGTTCAGTCACCCAGAGTACAGGACTTTGATCGCTCCTCGTTCAAGTCCATTTTTGCCATCATATTTTGTATTACCCAGTTTGGCACCTAACCCACAAATCTGAAAACGAACAGACAACGTTTCGGTCCGTCCAGGACGCACCGAAACATCGTCAGTTTTTCTTTTTCAGATGTGTGGGATGGGTGTCAACTCTTCAGCCACGTTAATGTAACTCATCCTCTTCATGTCCCTTTTGGAACTCATCCTCATTATGTCCCTTATGGTCTGATTTACACGAACATACACCTGGAGGACCTGGAGGACCAGGAGGACCTGCAGCACCAGTTGATCCTTTATGTCCTGGAGGTCCATGGTGTCCTGCATCTCCTTTAACTCCTTCTCCCGGAGGACCAATATCTCCCTTTGGTCCTGGATGTCCATTAGTTCCGTGTGATCCTTGAGGTCCAGGAGGTCCAGGAGGTCCTCGTTGTCCTGGATGTCCATGAGCACCCTTTGGTCCTGGAGGCCCTTCACCTCCTGGTGGTCCTGGTGGACCATCAGCTCCCGTTGATCCTCTAGACCCATTACATCCTTTTGGTCCTGGAGGACCATCAAGTCCATTTGTTCCTGGAAATCCATCAGATCCCCTTGGTCCAGGACGTCCATCGCTTCCCTTTGGTCCCTGAGATCCATTAGCTCCCTTTTCTCCTGGAGGTCCTGCATGTCCCTTTGGTCCAGGAGGACCATCAGATCCCTTTGGTCCTGGAGGCCCATCGCCTCCATCTGAACCTGGATGTCCATGAGGTCCCTTTGGTCCTGGAGGTCCAGGATCTCCTTTTGTTCCTGGAGAACCATCTGTTCCCTTTGGTCCTGGAGGTCCAGTGTTTCCCTTTGATCCTGAAGGTCCAGTATCCCCCTGTGGTCCTGTACGTCCTTCATCTCCCTTTGGGCCATGATGTCCAATATCTCCTTTTGGTCCTGGAGATCCAGGATGTCCTGGAGGACCTGGAAGTCCATCATCTCCTTTTGGTCCTGGGGGGCCATCCTCTCCCTGTGATCCTGGAGTTCCAGGATCTCCTTTTGGCCCTGGATGCCCATCCTTTCCATGTGCTCCTGGCGACCCAGGCTCTCCCTTTGTTCCAGGATTTCCATTAGCTCCATTTTTACCTGGATGTCCATCAGCTCCCTTTGGTCCAGGAGGGCCAGCCTCTCCCTCTGATCCTGCAGTTCCAGGATCTCCCTTTGGCCCTGGATGCCCATTCCTTCCATGTGATCCTGGCGATCCAGTATCTCCTTTTTCTCCTGGACTTCCATCATCTCCCTTTGCTCCCTTACTTCCATGAGGTCCAGGTAGTCCGGTATTTCCATGAGCTCCTGGTGGTCCTGGAAGTCCATGATCTCCCTTTGGTCCTGGAAGTCCATGAGCGCCATGTGGTCCTGGAGATCCATCATCTCCCTTTGGTCCTGGAGATCCATCATCTCCCTTTGGTCCCGGATATCCATGATTTCCTTTTGGTCCTGGAGATCCATGATCTCCCTTTGGTCCTGGAGGCCCATCAGCTCCGTGTGGTCCTCGAGCTCCTGTATCTCCCTTTGGTCCTGGGGTTCCATCAGCTCCATTTTCTCCTGGAGATCCGTCAGCTCCCTTTGGTCCTGTAGATCCATCGGCTCCCTTTGATCCTGGAGGTCCATGATGTCCTGGTGGTCCTGGAGGCCCAACATCTCCTTTTGATCCTTGAGGTCCAGCATCTCCTTTTCCTCCTGGAAATCCATCAGCGCCGCGTGGTCCTCGATGTCCATCCCGTCCCTCTGGTCCTGGAGGCCCAGGATCTCCCTGTGGCCCTGGAGCTCCCTCATCCCCTTTTGAACCTGGAGGTCCATGAACTCCTTGTATTCCATGAGGACCTATGTCTCCCTTTGGTCCGGGAGATCCATGATCTCCCTTTGGTCCTGGAGGTCCATGATCCCCCTTTGGTCCTGGAGAGCCATCACTTCCTTTTGGTCCTGGAAGTCCATCAATTCCATCTAATCCTTGATCTCCAGTATCTCCCTTTTCTCCTGGAGATCCTTTATCTCCCTTTTCTCCTGGATGTCCAGGATCTCCATTTTTCCCTGGAAGTCCATTAGTTCCATTTCTTCCCGGAGTTCCAGCATCTCCCTTTGGTCCTGGAGATCCATCAGATCCCTTTGGCCCTGGAGGTCCATGATGTCCTTTTGGTCCTGGAATTCCATCATTTCCCTTTTCACCCTGGGATCCATCCTCTCCCGTGTCTCCTTTTGGTCCAATATCACCTTTTGGTCCCGAAGATCCTGAATCTCCCTTTTTTCCTGGAGTTCCAGGATCTCCCTTTGCTCCCGGATGTCCATCTTCTCCATCTGCTCCTTTAGATCCAGAATCTCCTTTTGTTCCTGGAGATCCAGCATCTCCTTTTCCTCCTGGAAGTCCAGTATCTCCCTTTGGTCCTGGATTTCCATTATCTCCCTTTTTACCAGGATGTCCCGCATCTCCCTTCGTTCCTGGAGATCCAGCATCTCCCTTTGGTCCTGGAGATCCATCACGTCCTTCTGATCCTTTAGGCCCAATGTCTCCCTTATGTCCTGGAGATCCATCTGCTCCCTTTGGCCCTTCAGGTCCATCAGCTCCATCTGATCCTGGAGTACCATCAGCTCCCCTTGGTCCCGGAGGTCCCCTAAGCCCATGAGGTCCTGGAGGTCCAACTTCTCCATTTTTTCCTGGAGTTCCAGTATCTCCCTTTGGTCCTATCGATCCAGAATTTCCCTTTGGTCCACTAGATCCAGCATCTCCTTTTGGTCCTGGAGCTCCAGTATCTCCCTTTGCTCCTGGAGATCCATCAACTCCATTTAATCCTGGAGGTCCATCATCTCCCTCTCTTCCGTGAGGTCCAACAGCTCCTTTTGGTCCTGGATCCCCTTTAGGCCCGTGATGTCCAGGGAGTCCTGCTGGACCTGGAGGTCCATGAGAGCCTGGGAGTCCTTGGTCTCCTTTATCACCAGTAGAACCTTTTACCCCATCATCACCCTTAACGCCCCTTGCACCAGGAAGACCTGGATGACCTGGATGTCCATTGATGCCACCTTTACACGATGCACCGTCTTTACCTGGAGGGCCGGTTGCGCCTTTAGCGCCATCCTTACCGGGAGGACCAGTCATGCCTTTGGGCCCTTCGATGCCTGAGTCACCTTTATGACCAGGAGTTCCGTCTTTACCGGGATTGCCTGGTTCACCTGGTTCACCAGGCACTCCCTTAGGTCCTGAGAAACCTGGAAGACCTGGAGGTCCTGGAGGGCAGTTTACAGTGCAGGCATGTGAGTCCCCGTCACCATTGTCTGTACTTGAACTTTTACCTGTAAATATGTGAAAAAATATGATAAGTAAATTTGGCGTCATTAGGGTACAGTTCCCGATAGATTTTAAATGCATTATGTTATAAATTACATTGTAATGTGTCAGTTCATGGTTCTTTTTAGGTGTGGTAGTGCATGTTGCAAGACCTGACATCAATATGCCGGTGGGCTGCGTCCATGCCAATGACGTGAGTCGTGTCACCAGTGGTTGAATGCTCTCTATACTGTTGTCATTACGCACTGAAAATCATCATTTTGTGAATGCAACATCGTATTCATCAGTCATGTTAAGAGCCTTAAACCGCCAGAACATTGATGCTACTTGGGCATCACAAAATAATGAAACAAGCTGCACTTGTCGAAGATCTGAGTAGAATCAATTTTTGGTCCTTTCACGGACCATCATCAACGTGACCTGCCAGCACCCGTTCCCAGGTTTATTTTTTTGGTTAAGGTATGAATTACAATGTCTTCGCCTATAGGGCACCCGAGATCCCCAATTGTGAGTGAAGAGCGAAGCAAATTGAGCTACAAGACTCTTCAAAGGATCAAGTTCCGTGTGTTCCTCGTTGCTTCAAGAGCTGTTCCGTACGCAGGAAATACATCAGATCACTGTTAGCCTTCTCTGGTGCCTTTCCTTATGTTGTCTTATGTGACCGACGTCTCTTTCATGTCCGGACACTAGCAGCTCATTTGGATGTCTTGGGGCACTGAATGCATTAGTCAAATGTGTACTTAATTCAACCACAGACACATGCGAACATGTTCCTAAAGTACTGTGCAACTTAACAATTGTTGTGATACTCTATATTTCTGCTCATAAAACTTACTAATTCTTTTGTTAACAAAAATACATGTTTCGATCTAAACAAAGTTATCGAAGTTGACCAGACCACACACTAGAAGTTGAAGGGACGACGACGTTTCGGTCCGTCCTGGACCATTTATCGAAGTTATAAGTTATAAGAAAAAGTTATCGAAGTTATAAAGCGATATTGATAACCTTTATATATAATTAAATATTCTACACATACATAGTTATCAGAATACTCACAGCATTTTTGTCCTTTTGAGCACCCAGGGGCTCTGATCCTGTCGCAGTCTGTGCTCCTGGAGGCACACCAGCCGCCCATCTCCTCGCAGGTGTACTGATCTCCTCCTCCTCCCCGGCCTCTCTCTGGACGGGCGTCTCCACCCGCGCCCTTCCCTGCGCCTCTCTTTGCTTTCCGTTCAGGCTTGTTCGCCTTAAGTGATTCTTCCTTAACCCTCTTGTTCTTATCTCTCCTGCGTTGCTTCGTCTTCCTTCCTGTTCTTTTTCTTAGGGCTCTGAATTTCTTCAGTTTTTCGTTTTCTGAAGAAATAAATAATGGTGAAAAGAAAGTACTTAAGCAGTTGGCCTCCAAAAAACAATCGAGAGGACGGTCTAGAGATCGTCCTCTCGATTTGTCAGCTCACAGAAATTATGTCCTATATTGCCCAAATTTAACCTAACCGAGGACCCAAGAATATAAAACTTAACAGCGAATCGCTATAATTTATAATATATCATTTTTTGACGTTGGTGATTTATATGCCAAAATATGATGTACTATAGGACAGGTTGGTATTTCCGTAACAATTCATTTGTGAAATCGCCTTATCAGCTGTCGGTCTACTATTGCAACTACTGCCGACCTGCATGTCTTTCTATCACATAATCTTTTAAAATTGTGGATAGAGATGGTTTCATCTACCTCGTCAGGTTCACTCAAGTTCCAATTACTCTTTATGTTGAAGGAAGATGTCATGTATAGCCTCTCTAAAGTCGGTCAGTCTTCCACCTGCATCTGTATCCTCTCACTCTATTACCATTCCTTGTAAACATTTACTTCTTTAACACTATTAATTTTCTTATATATATTTTATTTTTCAATTAAGTCTCATTTTTGGTTAGCTTTTCTATCATTATAAAGTCCTCTCCTCGCGCTGCACTCCATAAGACTTGTGGGACAAGCCTCGGTACTCCATGAGAGCCTGGGAGTCCTTGGTCTCCTTTATCACCAGTAGAACCTTTTACCCCATCATCACCCTTAACGCCCCTTGCACCAGGAAGACCTGGATGACCTGGATGTCCATTGATGCCACCTTTACACGATGCACCGTCTTTACCTGGAGGGCCGGTTGCGCCTTTAGCGCCATCCTTACCGGGAGGACCAGTCATGCCTTTGGGCCCTTCGATGCCTGAGTCACCTTTATGACCAGGAGTTCCGTCTTTACCGGGATTGCCTGGTTCACCTGGTTCACCAGGCACTCCCTTAGGTCCTGAGAAACCTGGAAGACCTGGAGGTCCTGGAGGGCAGTTTACAGTGCAGGCATGTGAGTCCCCGTCACCATTGTCTGTACTTGAACTTTTACCTGTAAATATGTGAAAAAATATGATAAGTAAATTTGGCGTCATTAGGGTACAGTTCCCGATAGATTTTAAATGCATTATGTTATAAATTACATTGTAATGTGTCAGTTCATGGTTCTTTTTAGGTGTGGTAGTGCATGTTGCAAGACCTGACATCAATATGCCGGTGGGCTGCGTCCATGCCAATGACGTGAGTCGTGTCACCAGTGGTTGAATGCTCTCTATACTGTTGTCATTACGCACTGAAAATCATCATTTTGTGAATGCAACATCGTATTCATCAGTCATGTTAAGAGCCTTAAACCGCCAGAACATTGATGCTACTTGGGCATCACAAAATAATGAAACAAGCTGCACTTGTCGAAGATCTGAGTAGAATCAATTTTTGGTCCTTTCACGGACCATCATCAACGTGACCTGCCAGCACCCGTTCCCAGGTTTATTTTTTTGGTTAAGGTATGAATTACAATGTCTTCGCCTATAGGGCACCCGAGATCCCCAATTGTGAGTGAAGAGCGAAGCAAATTGAGCTACAAGACTCTTCAAAGGATCAAGTTCCGTGTGTTCCTCGTTGCTTCAAGAGCTGTTCCGTACGCAGGAAATACATCAGATCACTGTTAGCCTTCTCTGGTGCCTTTCCTTATGTTGTCTTATGTGACCGACGTCTCTTTCATGTCCGGACACTAGCAGCTCATTTGGATGTCTTGGGGCACTGAATGCATTAGTCAAATGTGTACTTAATTCAACCACAGACACATGCGAACATGTTCCTAAAGTACTGTGCAACTTAACAATTGTTGTGATACTCTATATTTCTGCTCATAAAACTTACTAATTCTTTTGTTAACAAAAATACATGTTTCGATCTAAACAAAGTTATCGAAGTTGACCAGACCACACACTAGAAGTTGAAGGGACGACGACGTTTCGGTCCGTCCTGGACCATTTATCGAAGTTATAAGTTATAAGAAAAAGTTATCGAAGTTATAAAGCGATATTGATAACCTTTATATATAATTAAATATTCTACACATACATAGTTATCAGAATACTCACAGCATTTTTGTCCTTTTGAGCACCCAGGGGCTCTGATCCTGTCGCAGTCTGTGCTCCTGGAGGCACACCAGCCGCCCATCTCCTCGCAGGTGTACTGATCTCCTCCTCCTCCCCGGCCTCTCTCTGGACGGGCGTCTCCACCCGCGCCCTTCCCTGCGCCTCTCTTTGCTTTCCGTTCAGGCTTGTTCGCCTTAAGTGATTCTTCCTTAACCCTCTTGTTCTTATCTCTCCTGCGTTGCTTCGTCTTCCTTCCTGTTCTTTTTCTTAGGGCTCTGAATTTCTTCAGTTTTTCGTTTTCTGAAGAAATAAATAATGGTGAAAAGAAAGTACTTAAGCAGTTGGCCTCCAAAAAACAATCGAGAGGACGGTCTAGAGATCGTCCTCTCGATTTGTCAGCTCACAGAAATTATGTCCTATATTGCCCAAATTTAACCTAACCGAGGACCCAAGAATATAAAACTTAACAGCGAATCGCTATAATTTATAATATATCATTTTTTGACGTTGGTGATTTATATGCCAAAATATGATGTACTATAGGACAGGTTGGTATTTCCGTAACAATTCATTTGTGAAATCGCCTTATCAGCTGTCGGTCTACTATTGCAACTACTGCCGACCTGCATGTCTTTCTATCACATAATCTTTTAAAATTGTGGATAGAGATGGTTTCATCTACCTCGTCAGGTTCACTCAAGTTCCAATTACTCTTTATGTTGAAGGAAGATGTCATGTATAGCCTCTCTAAAGTCGGTCAGTCTTCCACCTGCATCTGTATCCTCTCACTCTATTACCATTCCTTGTAAACATTTACTTCTTTAACACTATTAATTTTCTTATATATATTTTATTTTTCAATTAAGTCTCATTTTTGGTTAGCTTTTCTATCATTATAAAGTCCTCTCCTCGCGCTGCACTCCATAAGACTTGTGGGACAAGCCTCGGTACAAGCCTTCCCACCTTTTGAAGGTTTATGTGCTTATTGAGTTGAGAACTCCATGCATGGGCTGCGCTCTAACTGTAACTAATTCTGGGACTGGTCTAACGTATGTGGTGTACAGTCATCTGAATGCCTTCTGATCTAGGTTCCTGATAAATGTTTGACTCTAACTGAACAGGATCTCTAATACCCCCAGTTTTCAGAAAATGCCAGTCTTCAGATATATTTTAAAGATAAACTCAGGACATTATGTTAAAACCTCACCTTGTGGTGGAGTGTTGATGCAGCAGACTTCATCTTGCTTCTGGCAGCCAACTTTTGACATCATAGCTTCACATTTTTTGGCGGGAACACATCTCCCGCCAGCCGCCTCGCAGTCGCTCTTGCCGCCCTGCACAGACAATTATTTACTAACAAAACTTTCGGTTTACTCATCAATCATGCTAAATTTTTATGGTTAGTGCAGACCAAAACTACAATTGTTTTACACAGGTGTATGTAAAAATGCAGATCCTTTCACATATGGGTCTAAATCGTTTTATGACCCAACCCACACATATGGCAACAAAGAAAAGTGACGATGTTTCAGTCTACCTCGTCAAATTTTCAGCTAATGTTATTGCGACATTCTTTGCATATAGATCAATAGCATTATTAGTAGGCCTTCTAGGTTATTTACTTTCTATAAATTTGTGGCATTATACATTCATTAAAAAGATGTTCAAATTGTCGAAGCTAATTATCGAGAGGAAAGGCGCTAATTAGCATGATATAAACACAAGGAAGGTATGTGAATACAGATAAGAAGCTGGAACATAAAGACGGAGTGAAGGAACGATAACCAACCAATTGCTTCATTGGGGATTGAACGCCCACCCTACAAGCGAAGCCAGCACTTTACTAACTTTGAAACAACCTAAGGCAAGAATTAAGTTGTTCCAAGAAGATGTAGGAAAAGTCAAGAGATCTTTAATGGTGGACAGCAGTAATATAAGTTATAAGGCACAAATTCATCCTTGACATACGGCAGGAGAAAGTCTACATGGAAGGATCCAGTGAACATAAAACTAAGATTAGGATGTAAATATTACTGGCAATATGGTGCTGAAGTCTGTGAAAACTAAAAGGAATGTAAATAATGTAGTATACCGAACACTCACACGCTAGATCACTGTGTAATAGAGTGTGCATTGATTGAACAACATAGAAATTAGGAAATTTGAGATGTACCACATCAAACTGAATGAATGTGTAATAATGGTAGGAAAGATAGTTTTTGCATGGAAGTAGTGATCTGTGCTTTCAAACCTAGTACTCATGATGTCCGTGAGAAGAGAACACATGCTGACTATTACTTCAAGAGTATATTTATTCTGATTTGCATGTTATCATAACGTTGAGAATGACAGTTTGAAAGACAATTCATAACGAAATCTGAAACATAATGGATGGCGGCAGATCTACCTCTTTCCCTTATACTGCCCTTTTCCCTTCATCTTTCTCTTCTACATCCCTTTTCTATCTGCATTTCCCTCCTTCTACCTGGATCATTTATCCTTCCCTTTTATTCCCCCCTTCATCCTTTTCCTTTCATTTGATCACTTTCTCTCCCATTCCATTAACATTATTTCCTTCCCATTCCCCTCTCACCTATCGGATACAACGCACACATGGGACATTAAATGAACCCCAAGCCACACATGCCTCGTATGGGCCAGTAGGCTTTCCTGAAGTTATTTGTTATGTAAATTGTCATCCATACTCCCGCGTTAATAAACATTCCATTCACTTAGGCTCTAGAAGACTCGAACCCTGGACCCCACTTGTGTGAGGCCGAAGCTCTATCGACCGAGCTATGGAGTAGTCTTAATAAGGAAAGTTTCCAGAAGCAGCATCCTTCTGCCAAACTTTCGAAGAGTCGAAAATTCCAGTTTTCGACTGCAATTCAAGAGATTCAAGTCCACGGCTTGCGTCTCCTAGACCCCAGGTGAACGGGATGACTTGTTATGTGTATATAACTCACCTGAGCATGTGTTGACAGGACCACCAACACCGCCAGCAGCAGCAGCTGCAGTAGCGCTCTGAGCACCGCTTCCATCTTCTTGGAACAGTACCGATGAGTGCCGCGCTCCGGTCATAATATTGCCTTCAGGATCACCAGCGGCGCATGCGCACCACAAAGCAGCAGGTGTTTGTTTAACATGAAACGCGAAGGTAATTGACCTATGTGCTGAAAGCAGATGTTCCGCCAAGCCGAAGTTACATATTATATATATATATATATATATATATATATATATATATATATATATATATATATAACCTATATATATATATATATATATATATATATATATATATCTGAATAGAGCTTAAACATCTTCGATTTTTTTTTATACCTGCATTTGGGTGAGGTGATATGTTACAACAGTTTTGGATGAGGTGAAAACAAACTTTCAACACAAGCCAGAACACGAAACAATGGGTATTGAAGGTAAGAATGGAAGTAATTGCAGAGGGCCTATTGGCCCATATTTCTTGATGCTTCTATATTGGAGCGGAGTCTTGAAGTGGTCACTTCAAAGTGAGGGGATGGACGTTTACACTTGTCTGGCGTTGGGCAGACAAGTGTAAACACTCATCCCTTCACGTTAGTGAACGTAAACGTTTGTGGACGCCCTCTGTGGACGTTGGGAGGGGGGAAAGGGGGAGTGATCTTGGACGGCAAACCACTTATTGTCTTAAATTTGTGTGTATTGCGAGAACATCTAGAGCCAGTCACTTTATTTTATCGCACTAGGATGTGATACTAATGAATTTGAGCTATTTATATAGAGGTAATAGTTAAGCTGATGTGCGGATGTTGTCATGATAATGATTGTGATGAAGCCTAATGATGAGTGTTCAGTAAAACTAACAATGTCTGGCGCGACATGAGAATTTTTTTTTAGTTTATTTTATACTATAAACGTGAACACACATTTACAATGGTAACCAGTATATATATATATATATTATATATATATATATATATATATATATATATATATATATATATATATATATATATATATATATATATATATATATATATTTTTTTTTTCTTTTGTCCTCCATGGGCAGGGTTAGAGCTCTGTTAGAATCATACAGCGTAGTGAGTTAATGAGTCAACCATAGAATGTGATTAATGCAAGTTTACAAAGGTGAAATACAACTGTAACTTACATACAATACACACATATATGCATACATACATACATATACATACACACACACACACACATATTTACTTCTCTCTTACTTTGTCAGGGTAAAATAGCTGATATAGAAACTAGTGCTAACTAGGATTCGTACATTCTCGCCTGTGCTACAGAGAGGGTTACAGCAGCTACATCCCACAATGACTTACTGAGGGCGGGGGGGGGGGGGGGGGAAGAAGAGTATGGGGGAAGAAATGACCAAGGTGTTAAAAATATTTTCACGAATCTTACAGACCAGATGGAAGATAAAGTTACTTATAAAACAAAAATTGCCTCCATCACTCCTCCTGGAACTTTGATAAGGCTAATTGACTCGGGAGCAGACCAGTCAACTAATACCGAGTGTTAGAGAACTTCGATCTTTGAATACTTAATGGATGAATGGAATTCCTTTACATTTACTTCGTGAATTACAAGGGGAATATATTTATCCATAAAAATGCTCATACTCTCACAGGTTATGTCCAAAGCAATTCAGGATCTAAGTCTCAGAATTAATTAAGGGAAAATTTATAAAATACACAGGACATTAATTAACAGTAACTTTATTTAATGCAAATTAATTCAACCCTAAGCTAGTGACATCCTATCCTTAGAAGCATGATAATGGAATACAAATTGTTCAGAAAACTCAAACAAATACTTTCATCAGTGCTCCTGCACAGGACATGTGGCCTGCTTGATCACCCCCCCTCTCTAATCCCTATGCACTCAGACCACACTGACGATCTTGTGCTCTCCATCCTTCAAGGTGGAGTCGTGGCTCCACCTCTCTCTCCTGGGTCTATACCCAATCAATTTGAACCAGGGGCAGAGTCTTCCCACAAGGTCAGGAGGTACTGACCCAGCTGAGGACTGTGAGGGGAACATGTGACCCACAGTCATACCCAGGTGGGTATGACTTATCTAGCTGCCTCCAGCAGTCAAGAGGAAGGGAGAGGGGGGAAACGGGAAGAAATAATAATAAGAGGGAAAGAGGAAGGAGAGGCTTACTTGTTCAGCTGATAGTTACAACAGGAATCAGAGAGAGAAAGCGATTTGGGAGTGGATATAATTTCATCACTAACACCAGAAGCATACATTGACTGGATGACATCGGCAACATATGGCTGCTGGCAAACATTATAACATCGCTTAGAAACCTAAATCAGGATTCTTTCTATGCAATCTACACAGCTTTTGTTAGACCAATACTAAAATATGCAACATCGACTTGGAATCCATACCCTGTGAAGCATGGAAGCTAAAATTTTAAAAACGTATAGATTTGCAACTAGATTAGTGCCAGAGCTCAAACGTTTAGGCTATGAGAATAGGCTGCAAAAACTGGACCTCGCAACCTTGGAGGATATATGTGCATTTGAAGAGAAGCATTGGAATAGAACTCCTATACCACAGCCAGAGTGCATGCGAGCAATGTGTGAAACCCTGACTTGGCTTCAGTGGAAGTCTACGGAGTCCCTAGAGGATTCAGTTGAATCCCAGGTTGCACTGTATTGCTTAACTGACCCACTCTATCCTTCCTCATTATAGGACGCTGGTTGGACTTTGTACCTGAGTCGATCGTTCCGCAGTTGTTCGCATGAGTTAAACAAATGTTGAAAAGGCGCCACTTTTGAAGAAATGGGCTCAGGAGAAAGTCACTGAACCCTTAGCCCCCCCCCCCTTCCCATGCCTAAGCCACTGACTGAACCCTTCAGAGTCCCGGATATCTTCAAGACTATTCTTTCCTTATCAGCAGAGCCTCTCCTCCACCTCTTCCTTCCCTTTCTTTCCTTACTACAGTGTCAGTGTGGGAGTGTTAGCGTAGGATTGCCAGTGTGGGAGTATTAGCGTGGTATTGTCAGTGTGGGAGCTTAAATTTATTGCCCTATAACCACGTGAATTATTGTATCGCTATATTCATGAGACCCTCCCTACAAATGATAGGTTGTAAATGTTGGGCATTAAGGACAACAATGGGTGTGACCAATATACTGAAATTGAAAAATAATATGCATATGTTTTATTTATGTAAACAGAAAGTTGTTCTTATAAACTGGGTTACAGACACTCTTTAAGCTTTATGCGGACCAAGCATTAGAGACGATTTAATAAGGGTTTTAATGTTTCATATTGACAAAACATGCAAGAAAGTTAAAAATACAATAATTATGCTACTTTCTGATTACATTTTTTGTGTGTGGATAGGCAAGCAGGAGGGTTCGTCAACCTGTCCTCTTATAAATTACGTCTGAATTGGGCCGTTTGCCCGTATGGGCGAAAATGAAGGTAATTTGAAAATGAAAAATAATTGAAATTAAATTTTGATTTTTTTTCCAAAACAGCAAGTTAAAGGTCCTCTGGTAGGTCAGGAGGGCAGTCCTAAGTTCTATTAGATAATTAGACCTTAGGTTTCAAAACGTCATGAAAACATTTAATTAAAAGTTTCCTCTCTTAACCTAACCGAGTAAGCCGGAGGACTCAAAGCAAAAAACGGAACAGTACATCACTTTCGTGAGCCGATTTCATTTCAAATTAAGTCCATTTTTGGCCATAGTGTGGGAGTGTCAACGTGGGAGTGTCAGCGTAGGAATGTCAGCGTAGGAGTGTCAGCGAGGGAGTGTCAGTGTGGGAGTGCCAGTTGATAGTGTTAGCGTGAGAGTGTTTGCGTGGAACTCCATTAGTGTGGGGGGTGTTGCGAGGATGTGCTTGTGCGTGGGAGCGGTAACGTGGGTGTGCTTGAGTGAGCGTGTGTTGAGCTGGCATATTAGACAGTGGCAGCTGAACATTGTCTTATCGGTATTGCGTGATAAAACAGACATGATAACTTTGCGAGAGGAACGACCTCCCGCACGAGACAGCCTGTCCACGTCCTCTCTCGCGGACGCCAATCTTGTTATAACAAGCACGTAAGACTGTACAACTTGCATCGGGAGTGAAGAAATGGTGGACGGGTGGAGCTAGGCTTCTTGGGCGGGGTAGGTTGGTTTGGCTGGTCCGAGACTGGGTGTTGCGGTGGGGTGGCCGCGTGACTATGTGAAGCAAGGTATAGGCAGGAGACGGATTTATAATGCACTCACTGACGTATGCTTAAATTCTGTTTAGCATAAAATAGATAGTGAGAGCCCTGGTGCTCTGATAGAACATCTTTCACCTGTGGTGATATTAACCATTTTTTTTGTTTAAAATATTTAAGTTTTTAATTCAAATCTAACCATATAAATATTCTGGTTGAGGATGTCGGTCAAAAATACTGAAATTATAATTTAACTTTGTAAACAATCAGCTCTGTTGTCCTTGCTTTAGCTCTATGCTCTCGATCTTAGGAGCGGCAGCTTCCCTCATAATTTTTTTATTAAAAAATCACAATTTTATCTTAGTCTTACATAAGGAATATTTATAATCAGTGGCAGCTTTTGGTAATGGAACGTCAACAGGATCAGGATGACGCAGCTGCCGAATACCCGAGGAGTCCACAGGGGCGTCCAGGGGTCCTCCCTCGGGAGATCCTCCCTCGGGGGTCCTCCATCGGGGGTCCGAGTGGGGTAGAAATAGCCTAAGCTACTCTATCCCTTTGAAATGTATTTCTTTCTTGTCTCAATAAACATTCTTGAACTTGAATCGGGGGGTCCTCTCTCGGGGCCCTCCCTCGGGGGGTCCTTCCTTGGGGTCCTCCCTCGGGGTATTCTCTAGGGGTCCTTCCTCGGGTGTTGCCTTGCTGTTTGATGTACCTCGTGTGGGAGAAAAGTTCAGGTTTAGAGCTTGAGTGGGAAGGTTCACCTGGTACGTATGGTATTGTGGGACGTGTGTTATAGGAGGGGGGGAGGGGGGAGTAGTGAGCATGTGGAGGAAACAAGCCATTATTCATCCATCTGTCATCACCATTTACCGCCAGCCGGAACACCTGTATCGTCAGTAGTAAGTGAGACAAGCGTTGACACATAGAGTAAGAGATTTAGTCATACTGCTGAGTGAGGAGGTACTAATTCATCCTTTCTATGAGTTGTTTGTGATCTTGCTTGTGGCTTACATTCAGGCGGCCAGTCAGGTCCCATATGTTGTTCTCGTGACTAACAGTGCGTCATCACTACGAGTGTCAAGACCTCTATGTTTAGCTTCGACTGCGGCGAGGAGTAGCGTGAGAGATCAAATAATTGACAACACATTTATTTATATGTGCATGTCCGTTGTCTGGGCGCCTAGACTAGGACATCTGTGTATCTGTGTTGCATTCTGTAATTATCTACAAAACATCGAACAGTGGATTTCTTTCTCGGCTCACACTCGGGGATCCAGGGTTCGATTACCGGGCGGGAGAGGAATGATTGGGCACGTGTCCTTTCACGTAATGCCTCTGTTCACCTAGCAGTACATAGGTAAGCGGGAGTTAAGGAACTATTGAGGGGTTGCATCCTGGGGAGGGTCAGTAGTGCGGCCTTAACAGGACATCGATACAGGCCCAATATATATATATATATATATATATATATATATATATATATATATATATATATATATATATATATATATATATATATATATATATATTATATATATTATATATATATATATATATATATTCTTCTGGGGTGTGAGTTTTCAGTTGCATATAGTCCTGGGGACCATTCAGGCTTGTTCGCATATATATATATATATATATATATATATATATATATATATATATATATGTTATGTTTACATAACTGAGGAGACACATGTATCACCTGGAGCTGAGGTCAGCAAGTCCTAGCAGGTGTGGGCGTGTACGGGTCACACCTGACCCAGGTGGCTGTGTTGACCTTCCAAATGAATTACTTTCACGAATTTTTAGTGTTAGATAAAGCTAGGTTAACAAGAATCCAGGTAATTTTGGATTAGAATTTGTTAGAATCCCATGCGTTCGTGGTTAAATTTGGTAAACATGCTAATGGGTGGTTATTTCAAAGGTAATTTATATGATTGTTTACAATAGTTTCTGTGAATGTTGACGAATGAAATTACCGAGAAAATGTATTCAGTAGTGGTAGATAGGTAGATAAGTAGTGGTATATAAGACGACACTTACCTCAAGTGTTTCTTCGATGGTGGTGAAGGGGCGCGGTAGATTAACTGGAAGTGGCAGGAACATATTGACTCGACACCTGTGTGGAGATAATTTCTGATTATAAAAAATCGGTAATATATTTGAGTGTTTAATATGATATTACCATGTTGTTTGTGCATTGTTGGGCACCTTGAAAGAGAGGTTGCCGTCTTGCCTAAATATTGGGATCATTGGAACTGACACAATATCTCTCCAGGCCTGGTAATACACAACAAAAAGGCTCTATCACCATTAATACAAATACGAAACTGGTTACTCTGCAACCCTATGTAGCTTTTTTCATGACGGAAATTATTCAGTACTGGAACTCACAGGGCAGCTCAGTTCTCTATTTTGTTATTGGTGCTTCCAAAGCATTTAACAATGTTTAACATACCAGTGGTCACTCAAATTTTACCAGACATATGAACTAGATTGTCATAAAATACAACATAACTATACAACAAAGGCATAAATGCATTTATGCAATAGTGTAGGAGGTCTATATGACAGAATCAAAACAACTAATCAGTTCAGAAAGCAGAGAGACCACCCACTCTATATTTGAAATTATTAAGGCATTACAAATCCTGACGAAATCGACATATGTTATATGAGACGTGAGTTCACAATGACTGTGATCCAGACAAGCATCGCACATATTTCTACAACTTCGTGGTGTAATTAGTTTGTCAGTTATTTTTTACAAATGTAATGCATTTTATTGATTTTCTGCATTTAATTAAGTCATGTGATGTCTCAGATCTATTATAATGTATCGCTTATTGTTGGTAAATTGTAAACAAAAATATGTTTTTTTTATATTTTGTCTACTTTACCGGTTTTTATTGTACAGTTTATAATTTTTAGTCTGATATTTTTACTGCTACTGGTGGCCACCATCTCTCTAGTGTAGAAGTCATGCTATCAGGTAACTTTGGGTAATATGTATGTCTATACCTATAAGAAAAATGCCTGTTTGTTCAAAGTTGGAGGCCAGACGCTTGGGGATAGTCTCACTCAAATTTGCAAGGGAAATGGTCTTGGGTATGGGACAGACATAGGTTATTCGTGGCAGGCCAAGTTAAATGCTTTAAGAACTATTAGCGATTATATATACCCCCCAGACGATTTTCATAGTCATATGTGGTGCCATCAACATGGCCTTTCAATCATCATAATATTTTCGTACATAGTATACACCTGTACAGCTGAAATATTGTTATTCAATAGAGGCCGCAGCCAAAAAAAAACTTTTTTTTTCAATGTCTGTAATCTGTAATTTGTTTTCATTCTTTTGTTTGTAAATATTTTGTAAATTACTTTTTTTACAATTGCAATTTCGAATTAATATTTGCTGTCTATGTTGAATATTTTTTCAAATCCTTTGTTTGATCAAGTCCGGTAAGCGGAGATTTTGCGTTTTATTTTTGTGCATAATTAGTATCATTATCTTCTTTCTTATTTTAAGCAACCCTACTCATTATGTTTTTTTGTTTTGTGGGTTTAATTTTAATTTATGGCTTTCCTGTGTTTCAGATCTTATGATGAAAGCGAAACGTTTTGTGGATTTTAATTGAGAGTAACGATGATATTTGTCCCATCAATCATTTTCCCTTTTTATCATGAAGTTAAGATTCCAGAAGAGAATCTCCATTTTGAACATGACAGACAAACGTTCATTATTGTAGATATATATTAGCCTTAGTGCTTTCTAAACAACATTCTGCTCTTCTGTTGCTGTGACATTGATATTCCTGTTGTTATGGCGTTAATATATTTCAAGGAATGTAAGGAACATAAAAATTACAAATGCAGTGCACGTATTTAATAACTCAACGTCTTCACAAATATTAGAAGTTTGTAAAATGTAGTGCGTTTAATTGTTCATGCTTGTAACATGCATGATAAATTTAAGAACATAAGAACAAAGGTAACTGCAGAAGGCCTATTGGCCCATACGAGGCAGCTCCTATCTATAACCACCCAATCCCACTCATATACATGTCCAACCCGCGCGATTTGCAAAATTTGCGCTTTTATTGACCCGTACAAAGGCCTGCAACATGCAAAACTATGTCTTGATAAATAAGTTTATTCAGTATATGATGGGAACTCCAAAACTCATCCATTTAGTGAATGAATCAGCTGTTACAGCACCTCAGAGTATTAACATACTAGTGAATGAATCAGCTGTTACAGCACCTCAGAGTATTAACATACTAGTGAATGAATCAGCTGTTACAGCACCTCAGAGTATTAACATACTAGTGAATGAATCAGCTGTTACAGCACCTCAGAGTATTAACACACTAGTGAATGAATCAGCTGTTACAGCACCTCAGAGTATTAACATACTAGTGAATGAATCAGCTGATACAGCACCTCAGAGTATTAACACACTAGGGAATGAATCAGCTGTTACAGCACCTCAGAATATTAACACACTGGTGAGTGAATCAGCTGGCACAGCACCTCAGAGTATTAACATACAAGTGAATGAATGAGCTGTTACAGCACCTCAGAGTATTAACACACTGGTGAATGAATCAGCTGGCACAGCACCTCAGAGCACCTCATAATATTAACACACTGGTGAGTGAATCAGCTGTTACAGCACCTCAGAGTATTAACATACTAGTGAATGAATCAGCTGTTACAGCCCCTCATAACATTAACACACTGGTGAGTAAATCAGCTGTTACAGCACCTCAGAGTATTAACATACTAGTGAATGAATCAGCTGTTTAAGACATTAATTAAATAATTAATTTAAGACACCAAAATTACGAGTCTTACGTGTTACAGCACGTAAGAGAACTACAAAAATGCACATATCATGTCAAGGTCTACCAGGTGACAATAATAATTAACTTTAATAACAAAGTTCGTCTTCATTTATACATATAATCTCAAAATTCCTATTGCATCACATTTAGTTGCCTGAATAGGCTCTTGGTTCCATATTTATTGTTTCTTCATCTGAGGCAGAAGTTTGGGAAGGCTGTTGGGCTATCTATCAGATCTGTTCCATCTCCGTAGACCTGATTGTGGGTGTCGCAGCTGCACTCATTTCCATCCTTCCAGTCACCGTAGACAAAGAACTTCAATTGTTTACCCTTAACCACCACTATTTCCAGGACTTCCTTTTTCTCCTGGAGGACCTGGGGGACCTGGTGGACCTGGAGGACCCGAAGGGCCGACAGGTCCAACATCTCCTTTAGGTCCTGTAGGACCAGTGTTTCCTGGAAGTCCCTGAGATCCTGTATCCCCTTTAGGTCCCGGTAATCCTGGAGGCCCGATGTCTCCCTTTGCTCCTGTAGTGCCATTAGTCCCGGGTGTTCCTGGAATTCCATTAGTTCCTGATGGTCCTTGTGGTCCAATGTCTCCCTTTGGTCCTTGTGGCCCAATATCTCCCTGTGGTCCTGGAAGGCCTGGAAGCCCTTGGATTCCTTGATCTCCTTGGGGCCCTGGAAGTCCTTGATCGCCCTGGGAACCATTAAATCCTGGAGGACCTGGAGGACCAGGTAGACCATTATCACCAGGAGTACCTGGTATCCCATTAGTACCGTTAATGCCATTTACACCAGGATCGCCTGGGACACCTTGTATACCATCACTACCGTTTGTACCGGGAGTACCGTCCATCCCTTTTGGACCAACAGCGCCAGGACTCCCGTTGTCACCGGGAAGACCTGGCGGGCCAACGCTCCCGTTATTACCGGGAGGACCTGGTGGGCCAACGCTCCCGTTATTACCGGGAGGACCTGGTGGGCCAACATTCCCGTCAGTGCCGGGAAGACCTGGTTGACCATCATTCCCGTCATTACCGGGAGGACCTGGTGGGCCAACAGTCCCATTATTTCCAGGAGGACCTGGTAGGCCAACACTCCCGTTACTACCGGGAGGACCTGGTAGGCCATCACTCCCATTATTACCGGGAGGGCCTGGAGGACCAGAACTCCCATTACTACCGGGAGGGCCTGGAGGACCAGAAATCCCATTATTACCGGGAGGACCTGGAGGACCGGTTGTACCATTAATCCCCGCGGAACCAGTAAGGCCAGGGGGACCAGGGGGTCCTGGAGGGCACTGGATACTACAAGTCTGCGTACCTGTAAAAGGGGTGAGTTGTAATACAAATGAAGCTTGCCATTTATTGCGTAGTTCATAGCATATATTAAATGACTGGTGTCATGATTACGAGGTGATATAGCCTAGGCTGCCTTCAGATGAGTTTTTCCTATGCATTCCCTCCATATTTGAGAATCTGTACTTATTGGGATATAATAATTGTGTCGGGGGGACAGGAAGCCAGAGTATATTCATACTCGTTTTGGCTTTTATCGAGATCCCACTGAGGTCGTCATTTGTCGTCAAGACGATGTTCTTCGAAAGCCACACCTAAAGACAAGGCGGGGGTTGGTGCACACGGTATCACCAAGGCAAGAGTTCGACATTGAAGAAAACTCTGAAGGATAACGAAGATAAATAGGAGCCAGAGAGAAGGGGCTCGGTTATTGTCAAGTGTGAGATATCATCGACCAGTGGACAGGAGCTGGAGCTACGCACAGTGACGGTACGACTGTAGGTACCAGAGGTACGGGCCTGTAGTGTCTCAGAGTGACTTCAACGATCAGTGAGGGACTAGATCAGTGTTCCTGGTGGTCAGAGGCCGTCAGCCGAGTGAGCGGCTGTGAAGTGATTGGATGAAATACATGTAAGGTTGAGGCTCCAGGATGGTTATGAGGAACCAGCCAACGTGGTACTTTAAAGATTTACAAGAGCGGGGGCCGAGAGATAGAGCCCCAGGCAAACAGTGTGGGCCGCCAAATCTCTGTGCGTGAGTTTGTAATCCAGGTGTTATAGCCCAAGTCAACGAGGGATGGCATAACATGAGTGAAGTGAGAAACTATACAATGAGATTACCAGAATACGAGGGTCCATGAGTGAGGCGGGGCCCAGAGCTGAGTACCAGGGAGGGTGGTGGTGAAGACACGACCCTGTAGATAAACTGAAGATATAGGAATAGATTGATAAACTTAACTTGCCTGATGGACAGAGGACCCAGGACGGCGTAGCGGACGACACAAGATCCTGAGTACAACTGATTTTGAGTCGCAGAGTTGTCGGATGTCACCCGCCATGAGAAATGTAACTATACAAGTTCTAAGTAAAAAGTTATAGTTCAGTGAATTAGAGTTACCTCGTGTCTGGGTGGGGTATAGATAATATATTCGGACAGGTCTTGAGGAGGCGAATCCGCTGATATCCCACATACAATTAGTTGAATGATAAATTACCAGAATCTTAAGTAGCAATAGCCCGGACTACCAACCGGGAGAAATTTAATTCTTTGAATAATATATTACTGCGGTGAATTTGATCATTTTTATGTATATTATATTAAACGAATGAATGGTGCAGTAAGCACCATTTATATATAGTTAATTACATGATATATTAGTCTTAAGTAGGACGAAAACGAAATATTAAGAGTGGACTAGGCTTTTTTTTAACGACACACCAATATGGCTGGAACCCAGCAAAACTCGATTAACTTAAATCTGATGGAGATAAGAAACGGCTGATGTTGAATTTCGACTACCACATAATGGACTTGATTAACTGACTTCAGAGCCATAAGGGCACTACGAGAGTCAACTACAACAACACAGGAAAGTTAACAGCGAGAAAGCAGTTGACAAAGAGCATACAAAATTGCATAAAGTTCTGCCGTGATATGCCGCTAGTCTCCGGGGGCAGGCGACACATATAGGTGTGGTCAGGATATACAACATGGTAGCCTACACCGTCGGTAGACTTAGACCCATCTGTGAAGATGGCAATGGAGCAGGAGTGTGCAGGGAAAAGGTATTTCAGAACTGCAGGAGGGGTAGAAGCCTTTGCTATGTGGAATCATGGTTTTACAAAACTTTTGAAGTGGGACTCTCCATGGGGGCAAGGATGGAACGACACCAGGAGTAGGATCCTTTATCCTTACACTCGCTGATATATGAGTTACATGTAAGTGTGTTATTTGTGCTCCTTTGTACATGGAAATGAATGTTCTAAGAACTAACATTTACTTGGAGGAGAGTTGTGAGAACTAATTAATATCAACATGGAAGAGTGTTGTCTGGACTGACATCAACATGGAGGAGTGTTGTCAGGACTGACATCAACATGGAGAAGTGTTGACAGAACTGACATCAACATGGAGGAGTGTTGCGAGAACTGACATCAACATGGACAAGGGTTGTGAGAACTCACTGACATCATCCTCGAGGAGAGTTGAGAGACCTAACTGACATCAACAGGGAGAAAAATTTGTAGATCTAACATCAACATGAAGGAGAGTTGAGAGATCCGACATCAACATGGACGATCAACACGATCACACACACATCAGAGTACATCCACATCATCAGAGTACATCCACACACACACACGCACACATCAGCGTTCAACTACATACACACACATCAGAGAACATCCACACACATCAAAGTACTCACAGCATTTTTCTTTTCCTTTGATGCATCCTGTGCCTTTGACCTTTGTGCACTGGGTTCTCTTAGCCACACAGGCTCCCCCAAGACTGGCGCACGTCCTCTTCGCTACCGCTCTACCCTCAGCTGCCCAAACGGATTTAAATTTCTTCTTGAATTTCTTTTTGGGCTCCTTCTTCTTCATTATCTTATTGTATTTCTTTCCATTGTTCCTTTTGCTATAGGTTTTGTTTTTCTTCACTTCACTGCTATCTGTAAAAATATACGAGGGATATTATTATTTGTCTTGTTGTAATAATATCAATTTTGTTCGAACCACAACGCTATAGATGCTTCACCAACGTATTACAAATACGTTGTAGTACGTCAGACAACAAATAATCGCCAACAGAACCTAAACACCTAACCTAACCTATACCTATATATATGCACAATATGCTAATATATTATAATAATTTATATTTGAGAACATTCCCGTTTTGAATGAACAGCATGTACAAATTTATGAATGCGTCTATGGGGTCGACCGCTGGATGTAATGGACTTGAGTCGAGGACGGGTTGCCATTAGATTTTCTTGTCCTTTTACAATCCAGTTTCAGTAGCCCGTTACGAATATTCAAGAGAAACTCAGATGTGGATGTTAACTTAATGCCTTACCTTGTGGTGGAGTGTTGATGCAGCAGACTTCATTTTGCCTCTGGCAGCCAAGTTTAGAAATTGTAACTTCACATTTTTTGGCGGGAACACATCTCCCGCCAGCCTCCTCGCAGTAACTCTTGCCGCCCTGTACAGACAATCAATTGTAGTCCTTATCCTTAATAATTATATATTTGTCTCCACTCTTTTCCCATCATAGCTATGCAATAACGTATGTCATTTATGAAATAGCTGAGCACATGTGTTTACAGTCGGCAGTCTCTGTATCTAGACACAACATCGACTACCATCTAAAAGTAATAGTATCCATAGTTACTACGAATGTAAGTACAAAATATGGACTGTTGTGCCCACATAAGTAAATGTTTTGCACTATTAACTGTGTAGAGGCCACGAGAAAGAAGGCAACGGCAAACTCACTTTTACGGAGCCTAGCGTAGTATATATTTATAATAAATCGCGTCTAGGATTCCGTATGTTAGGATTGTTTAGTTAGGACTAAGACATGTTATGTTTGTTTCACTTTTTGTTATGTCCTTTAGAATTCCAATAGTACAAAATATAAACTTTTCAGATACAACATTTTATACACTTGCGTACAAGGTCCGAGCCCATGAGGGATGTTGTATGTTAGAGGTGGCTTGCGGATCACTCAAGCTCATACACATCTTCATACACACTTCCAGGGCGTCACATGACAAAGATGACTAAGAAGACGGGGGCACTAACGAACGTAGTGCTCATTCCTGAAGCCTCACGTAAGTAACTACATTCAGGTAATTGCACACACACAGTTTCATAATAAGCCGAATTCCCTTATTAATATAGTTTTTCGATTATTTGTTCTTATGCATTTAGTTTAACCCAACAAAGGATACGCATTTTGTATATTTTGAGCGAAAACTAACCTAGCAGCCTCATCTAGCCTAATGGGGTCGTATTGGTTTATGAGGATATTTGGACTATGGGGTCGAATTAGACTATGGAGTAACTTAGGTTATGTGACAACATGGACTATAGGGTCGACCTGCATAATGGGGTCCCTTTGGACAATAAGACCGTCATGGACTTGAGTCCGTGGCGAGCCTGGACCATGTGAACGCAATGGACTATCGGAGCTATGGGGTCGCCATAGACCATCTGTACTGAGGGATATTAGCCATGCAACCACCATTAAAAACACGTATTCCCAAAGTGAGATTACACCCCATATTTTCTGCATGACTTTTAAATGCAATAAATGAGAAATTTATTTAATTTTGGAATAATTAATTTGGAATTCGTGGGTCCTCTGGTTGATTAGGTTAGGGCACTTTAGTACAACAGGCTCTTGACGTTGGGAATGCTGGCGAGAAAGAGCTGCAACAAGTCTGTGAACAAGCCGACCGTATTCCAGTAAGGTATGCTGGTGGATCAACAAGTATGAGTACCAACCTGAACTTGTGAGGGCAGCAGCAGCAGCAGCACCGCCGGCAGCAGCAGCATCACGGCTCTCACTGCCGCCGTCATCATGTATCAGGAGTGAAGTGTGCAGTGCTTTACACCTACCTTTAATAAGTACTGCAGAACGTGAAGTGCACATGCGCAGTACTGAGCTGCACATGTCCTGGGGACGTGGCAGGGTACGTAACCTATACGGTTGCTGAACTTACCTGCTGGCTCTAGAGTACTTCCTTACTGAGGGGTAAGGAAGAGTGGTCAGGGGAAAGGGAAGATTTCTGAATGAGAGACCATGGGAGGAGCAGGAAAGAGATAGAAAGGAGGAAAGTGTTAGAAAGTAGAGTAGAAGAGTTGAAAGTAAGTAGAAAAGTGAAAGTGCTGCCGCCATCCATTCAAGTTACTTATTTATAAGTCAAGGAATGGAACTTGTCTCCACAAACAATATTATCTGAGGTTATTATGTAAACACTGTACGAATATAACTCACATAACCAAGAATCTTTAAGTCATAATCCTAAGCCAGTAAACTTCAGAGTGCTCTCCCCTCTAGCGTTCACTATCTCAGATCTAAGGATCAGAATTAAAGACAATTTAAAAGGTAAGTTAATCAATTATATATTTACTGTTATATCTTCACTCATATGGGTATCATAATTCAACCATATCATTTGATATTCAAATGTCAACATGAACCCGAGAAAGAACACAATTTGAGTCACCACACAAGAAATTGAGAGCAACTATGGGTGACTGCCCCAGAAAATCACACAACAGATAAGTTGAAAACAATTTATGTCACCTCACAAGGTCACTCACCAGAGTCTCTGAGTTGATACGGCTGACAGGCCGAGTCCCCAAGACTCTGGGAGGTCAGTCTGGCTGCTGGAACCTCTCTCGACAGGCGATCTATCTATCGCTGTCCTACTCAATGTCTCAAAGGTACAGTTCCACGGGCATTTAAGGGGGGAACCGGGAGCTAAGCTCCGCCTACCAGAAGATAGCCTCTGGCTGTCTTCCTACCGCACCTATACAGTGCCTTGTTTGGTGGGAACACCTCAGCCACCCGTCAGCAATTATCAGAAGAGCAGAGACCGAGGTCATCTGATACGACCTGACCTCTACTCACCGTGTGAACATTAAGTCTCGAAAGGTGTGACTTTTTAATTGCTAAGGACCGACAACCTGGCGCCACCGGTATCCTGCGTGAATTGACTCTCTTTTATTTAAAATATTAATCAAAAGCCATTTATGGTGTTACACATCGGTACCCATTTGTTTCCATAGCATCTGAGAAAACCGGGCCGCTGGGGCAAGGGTACCAGGAGCTTTCTAAAAAAAAAACTTGGGTTCTAGGCTCATTGACACTACCAGAGGCTCAAGAGCGACTAGTATCCTGTTTCGGCTTCTCAATATGGTAATACAAACGGGAAACGCCTCTGTCCTCGGTTCCTGCCTGATGTCTGTTGTCTTGTCTTAATGATTGTGCTGTCATTTACTTGTTTTCTTCATGTGTTTTGTCGTGTTGTTCGTTGTCTTGTGGTTTCGTGTCGTCTCCTTTGTTGTGTTCTTGTGTCACGTTGTCACACAGACTGGAAGTCAACTGTTGACTGGGCGACTGCGAAGGCGTTATCTCCAGTTGACTGTAACACAAAGCTTTCCTGGTGGCCACCTCCACAACCACCAAGGTGATAGACGAGCATCTTGTTCCTTGATTAATTGATGAAGATTAAGCCACCCTAAAGGTGGCATGGGCATGAATACCCCGTAACTTGTCCCTTCCTCGAGTCTGGATAAGTACTGGAACGTACTTAGACTTCTGGATAAGTACTGGAACCGGTTTGGCTGTTCATCAGTATATTTTCCCCAGAACACGATCCGATAATAGGTTTACATCCAGATTTCCAGTTACTGCTGGTTACACAGGGGCGACGAAAGATAAAACGCTGCGCAGTCGTCCTAGAGCCTCGACCCTGGCTTTAAACCAAGCTTGTTTTTCCTTGTGATCAGGTGACTGTTTTAATCACTACACCACAAAAACAGTCTTTGAAGCTTTGAGCTCTCCCTAGGAAATTGCCTGTGGCTAATATATGCGTTACTAATAGTAAATTAGGACTCTGAACAAACACTTTGTTAAAACATTATAAAAGCCGTGAAGATAACTATCAATACCAGAGGTGATTTAGGAACATAAATGGTGAATTTTTGCCAAACGTTACGTGAAGGTATAGCGCTTGGTTATGGTAGAAGAGATGTAGAAACTGCCACTGTGGCACAGGTCTAAAATTATCTATGACCTAGGCTACCAAGAGGAAATTAGCTAGCGCAGGTGAGATATCTTTGTTGGCAACATATTGGTGTTTGTTGTTGGTGTGAAAGTCATATGTGGACGTGAACTCATCCCATGGGATTTATTATGCGTTGGTGAAATTATATATATCTATGCAGAGACAAGTCATATATCACTTGCCAAACGCGAGTTTCCGATTAGGTCAATATCCGAGGCTAGTGTTGATCACACTTGCGACTCGTTAATCAAACATGTGTTGTTATTTACGTGTCAAATATTAATATATATATATATATATATATATATATATATATATATATATATATATATATATATATATATATATATATATATATATATATATATATATATATATATATATATATATATATATATATATATATATATATATATATATATATATATATATATATATATATATATATATATATATATATATATATATATATATATATATATATATATATATATATATATATATATATATATATATATATATATATATATATATATATATATATATATATATATATATATATATATATATATATATATATATATATATATATATATATATATATATATATATATATATATATATATGTCGTACCTAGTAGCCAGAACGCACTTCTCAGCCTATTATGCAAGGCCTGATTTGCCTAATAAGCCAAGTTTTCATGAATTAATATATTTTCTCTATTTTTTTTCTTATGAAATGATAAAGCTACCCATTTCATTATGTATGAGGTCAATTTTTTTTATTGGAGTTAAAATTAACGTAGATATATGACCGAACCTAACCAACCCTACCTAACCTAACCTAACCTATCTGTATAGGTTAGGTTAGGTTAGGTAGCCGAAAAAGTTAGGTTAGGTCAGGTTAGGTAGGTTAGGTTGTCGAAAAACAATTAATTCATGAAAACTTGGCTTATTAGGCAAATCGGGCCTTGCATAGTAGGCTGAGAAATCGGGCCTTGCATAGTAGGCTGAGAAATCGGGCCTTGCATAGTAGGCTGGGCCTGTACCCGGGCCCCTTCTGGGCCCGGGTACAGGCCCAGAAGGGGCCCGGGTACAGGCCCAGAAGGGGCCCGGGTACAGGCCCAGAAGGGGCCCGGGTACAGGCCCAGAAGGGGCCCGGGTACAGGCCCAGAAGGGGCCCGGGTACAGGCCCAGAAGGGGCCCGGGTACAGGCCCGAAAGGGCCCGGGTACAGGCCCAGAAGGGGCCCGGGTACAGGCCCAGAAAGGGCCCGGGTACAGGCCCAGAAAGGGCCCGGGTACAGGCCCAGAAGGGGCCCGGGTACAGGCCCAGAAGGGGCCCGGGTACAGGCCCAGAAGGGGCCCGGGTACAGGCCCAGAAAGGGCCCGGGTACAGGCCCAGAAAGGGCCCGGGTACAGGCCCAGAAGGGGCCCGGGTACAGGCCCAGAAGGGGCCCGGGTACAGGCCCAGAAGGGGCCCGGGTACAGGCCCAGAAGGGGCCCGGGTACAGGCCCAGAAGGGGCCCGGGTACAGGCCCAGAAGGGGCCCGGGTACAGGCCCAGAAGGGGCCCGGGTACAGGCCCAGAAGGGGCCCGGGTACAGGCCCAGATGGGGCCCGGGTACAGGCCCAGAAGAGGCCCGGGTACAGGCCCATAAAGGGCCCGGGTACAGGCCCAGAAAGGGCCCGGGTACAGGCCCAGAAAGGGCCCGGGTACAGGCCCAGAAAGGGCCCGGGTACAGGCCCAGAAGGGGCCCGGGTACAGGCCCAGAAGGGGCCCGGGTACAGGCCCAGAAGGGGCCCGGGTACAGGCCCAGAAAGGGTCCGGGTACAGGCCCAGAAGGGGCCCGGGTACAGGCCCAGAAAGGGCCCGGGTACAGGCCCAGAAGGGGCCCGGGTACAGGCCCAGAAAGGGCCCGGTTACAGGCCCAGAAGGGGCCCGGGTACAGGCCCAGAAAGGGCCCGGGTACAGGCCCAGAAAAGGCCCGGGTACAGGCCCAGAAGGGGCCCGGGTAGCCACTAGTACGCGCAGCGTTTCGGGCAGTTACGGGTATCATCTGAGTGTTGAAAGAATGCAAAATCAGGTAAATTGAAGGAGTGTTTACACCTCAGAACACAGCTAGATGACTGGAAAGGATATTCTCTCAGCGACAGAAAACAATGTTTCTCTGAATGACTTTTAGTCTCCCTCACTGCTGATCAATACTGGCGAGTAACTGGGTAATATTCTCGGTCCGTTCCTCATGGTTCATGTACATTATTGATTTACCAAAGTGTGCCACTTTAAGCTAATAAAATACTATTTACTGGTGACACATCCTTTATTTTCTTACCTGCTAACTCAGACATCTTAGACTTGAACGATACAGTAAATACTGATCTCAGAAAGTCCACATGAGTCTGATGACTCATAGACTTTCTCACTACATTAACATGAGATTCTTCATATTATATTGACGAAAAATTTACTAGCTAAACAGATCTAAGAATAGACAATGCCCAAATTGAGAGCAGAAGAGAAGAGAAGTTCCTACGCATGCACAGAGGAGGGAGGGAGGTGGGGGGAGGGGAAGGAGGGAGAGGTGAGGTTGGGAGGTGGAGGAAGATAAATGATTTATAAATTTTATTAACATTATGAAGAACATTGTCAAATATCCTCGAAAATATTAAACGTTAGGGAGGACATTAATGTTACACAACATTTGGGAGGATATTGGCAAATGTCCTAACATTTGTCCTGATGATTTTATCGACCATTTTTGGAGTTCATGTAAATCTCTCTGTA